CTTCTAAAAGTCTAGGGCAGACTGAGAAAAGACCTTTAGAAAACAGACGATCATTGGTATGAGATCATTTCAGTCAAATGGTGGCAGAACAAATCTGATGCCAAGATGGTATATGATACTGAGTAGGTAAAAAGAGATTGTAAACAGCAATAGCAAGTAGTGAAGAGAAGGAGAGAAGTCAATAGTTCAAAAGGGTAGCAAGGATGAGGAAAATACTTTCCCTCTAACTGTTGCAGAGGGAGTTTCAACAGAAGGGGAAAGAATGAAGATGAAGAAGAGTAGACAAAATTAATGGTATAAAGTCTTTTTTTAAATTAACATATATTATTTGTTTCAGGGGTACAGGTCTGTGATTCATCAGTCTTACACAATTCACAGCGCTCACCATAGTACATACCCTCCCCAGTGTCATGGTATAAAGTCTTAAAGAATCTTCAGAATAAAGAGAGAAAAAGCGGGGGGGGCGCCTGGGTGGCTCAGATGGTTAAGTGTCTGCCTTCAGCTCATATTGTCATCCCAGGGTCCTAGGATCGAGCCCCGCATCAGGCTCCCTGCTCCGCGGGGAGTCTGCTTCTCCCCCTGCTCATGCTCTATCTCTTGTGTCTCGAATGAATAAATCTTAAAAAAAAAAGGAGAGAAAAAGGGAATAATAGGACATAAAAATACATTTTAAGAAAGAGGAGGGAAGCTGGGAGGGTTTAGGCAGGTATCTTTGATCCTAGTTGCTTAAAAGCATGAAGAATGAATTGGGCTAATGAATCTTGAGAATGAGGTTAAGTACTGGGAAATGTGAATGTCATAGGGTGATGAAGGGATTGCTAAGCAGTACTGCGAGCTCAGCTTATGTCAGCTAGCATATACTTGCATCAAAAGCAACTGGGTTTTGTGAATTCTTCCACTTGTCAGACTAGGATCAGGAGTTGAAAAATGTGGGTGGAGATCTTCTGAATGGGAGACTGGCAAGGTGAGTAGTTTCATTTTTCTGAAAAAACAACTCTATATAACAAGTGTATAATGAAATTTCATCACTGGTATTAATATTTCTTTAGTTTTGATACATGAAATTGTTCATTTTCAAGATGCAATAGTCAACTAGTATACAGCTCTCCTGTTTTTCACTCTGGTGCTCTTTCCACTATACCACAAATTCTTCCAGAAAGCACATTTGATAAAGTAATGCTACACTCAGCGTGACTGCTTGAAAAGAAAAACCTATAGCATCTCCTGGAATTCTTACTTAAAAATGTCAGCCTTCCCTTTCTTAAAAACACCATAGAAGCCAGGAAGCAATTTTGCCTCAGTAAAAGAATATGGTCGGCCTTAAGGATTCTTATACATTGTTTCCAGGACCCTGGGTTAAAATAAGCCTTGTGGGGGCACCTGGGTGGCTCAGTCGTTAAGCATCTGCCTTCGGCTCAGATCATGATCCCAGGGTGCTGGGATCAAGCCCCGCATCAGGCTCCCTGCTCGGCAGGAAGCCTGCTTCTCCCTCTCCCACTCCCCCTGCTTGTGTTCCCTCTCTCGCTGTGTCTCTCTCTGTCAAATAAATAAATAAAATCTTAAAAAAAAAAAAAAAGTAAGCCTTGTGAACTAGGAATGGATTTGGGACCTGTTATTTGGATCCTTTTTTTTTTTTTTTTTCAAGATTTTTTTTTTTTTTTTTCAACAGAGAGAGAGAGACAGCGAGAGAGGGAACACAAGCAGGGGGAGTGGGAGAGGGAGAAGCAGGCTTCCCACTGAGCAGGGAGCCCGATGTGGGACTCGATCCCAGGACCCTGGGATCATGACCTGAGCTGAAGGCAGATGCTTAACGACTGAGCCACCCAGGCGCCCTGGATCCTTTTTTTCTTAAAGTACACTCCACGCCCAACATAGAGCCCAATGTGGGGTTTGAACTCATGACCCTGAGATCAAGACCTGAGCTGAGACCAAGAGTTGGACACTTAACTAATTGAGCCACCAAGGTGCCTCTGTTATTTTGATTTGAAGTGAGGTGGGACAAAATGAAATCAGGTGCAATCAGACCTCTGCATAAGTGCTACATCTCAAAAAAGCCAAAGAAAACATTCCAAGTTATACTTGGGTCTTAAAAGTCCTAAGGTGGAGCCTAGTCAAGGAGGATCTTTGCAGTGCTGGGTGAATTATGAACAGCCTAAAAAGAGATGGAATCTGCAGGAATTTAAAAATGTCTCCAAGGCAAGGTTTGCACTGAGAGGGAAGAAAGAAGCAACACTGCAGGACAGGTAGGCAAAGAAACCAGGAAGAATTGAGGGCCTGCCCCTACACCTGTTCTCAGCAAGGTGGCTCAGTTCTACAAGGACCTCATGATCCTCCATTTCTCTCAGAGGCCAAGGATTCACAGCTTCTCTCTAAGCTCTAAGGACTTTTCCATTTGAAGATAGTAGTTTGCTGGGCAAAGAGACAGACAGAAGTACAAAGAGTAGGGTGGCAGACAAAAAGCCTAAAGGCTGAAGGATTTTTTTTTCCCTAAAGTATCTGTATATAGTTCTTATTATTAACTTGAGGACTGACTCAGTATACTACATCTTATAGATCTGCAGAGAATGATCTTTGCAGGAAATCTCTGTCACCTGAAGATGAAAAGGAATGTAAACCAACTCTGATCCCAATTCAGACCTTTGCCAACTGATGGTTCAGGTGAAGGCCCTCTGGGAGGGCCAGAAAGCAGAGTACAGCATATAATTGCAGAACAGTTCTCTTTCCCTTGTGATGAATGAAAAAGAAAGAGGAGAGGTACTAAGCCCTGAAACACAATATAGTAAATGGGAGAATATATGGTATTAAAAGCAGGAGAACTAAAAATCTTACAGACATAAATAAATGAGAGTGATCTCACTACCTGGTGACAGCAGTATTTATTCTGAGTTTCAGAGAAGGTCTAGAATTTTATAAAGTATTTGATATGGTTTCTACGTTCAAACAACATTACAGTAGCCATTCGATATACATTAACAGAGATCTAGAAATGACAATGACTAAATGTAAGCATTCATTCACTCAAATATCTTTTGAGGTCCTACTATAGATGCCAAGTGTTAAGTATTAGATATTCAATGGTGAGCAAAACAGAGTCCCTGAGCTCACAGAATTCTAAAACAGTGGAAGATATAGATATTATTGGAAAAATATAATTATATAAAATTACAAACTGTGATAACTATTGTGAAATAAAATGCAGGATGCATTCAAGATGTGTAAAAGGGGAACTTGGTAATAAGCTGCCAGGTAAAACCAGAGAGCTTTTCAGAGGAAATAATTAAAAAAGTTTTTTTTTGTGTGTTAACATCCCCTTGGCAGGAAGGGAAACAGGGATCCTGGGATAAAAAAAAGTAACCATTGTTCTCAGGAGAGTGAAAGGGTTAGCCTCACTTTCCTGCAAAGTTTTCATCAGGTTCACATATATGAAAAGCATCTTGCCCTTGGAGAAAAGTCACCATCATAAAGATGGATAGAATAAATAGGCAGAAAACTGATGTCTTCTATCTTCAGTATATTGAGGTAACAGGCCCTGAAGGTTGTTTGGTGTCACAGAGCTGTGGTCTGGACACGTTTGTCATTCCAACAGACTCTGTGGCTGTTTAGACGTTTGGCCATAGGCAGAGGACATTTTTAAAATTAGAGATAGCCACTTGTGATTTCCAGATTGTATACTGAATACACACATCCAGAGTCAACCTCTAGGGTCAACCTCTCTCTCCATTTTCTCTGCATTGATTTCCAACACAATAGGACTTTTTTTTTTTTTTGGCATTATGGTCTCAGGCACATAATAAAACTTCATCAGCAATGTTATTCTGAAAGCTGAAGCTTTACTATATTGCTGCTTAACAATGAGAAAGCCAAAAACACAGAATTCTTAACCTGTACAACCCTCAATACCTACTGCATGGTAGACTTTAAATAAATACTGAATCACAACAAAACATTCAGAGGAACGGACTTCGAATAGAATGACCACAATGAAATGCCTGAATTTCCATGGGCAAACTGACAAGATAGCTTATGATAATTAGAGATAATGAGCTGTGCTCCTCTGGGCCTCTAAACTCCAGAGTGGGGACGCTTTGGAAGTCTGGTTACTGATGCAGAGACCTGATGGGACCCTGAGGCCCAGCCTCTCTAAACCACACATACTTTAACAAGAACTTGGATTCTTTATAAAAAGAATGTATGTGCTGAAATCAAATTGCCACAGATGGTACCAAGGGATCAGAAATACCTGGTTAAGTCCCTTTACACCCCTACTTTTTCAGGTTTATGAACTTCCAAAATAGAAGAGATTTTGTTCTCAGGGGCAAATGGAACATACAAGAAGTCTGGATGGTAGCCTCGGGCAGAAGCACCCTACAGTGAGCCAACTGCTTAGTGGATGCCTGAAAACAAGACCATGTAAACATTTCCCTGTTGCCTAGGCCTATAAAATCTGTACTAAGTGACAGATGCATGAAGTGGAGTGGGTGGCTGGGCAATGAGGCAACCAGTGGGAAGGAGCTGACTGCACCTCCAGGTGTTAAAAAAGGCAAGAGCTGCATATTCAATGAGCCAACACTAAGTCAATTTAAGAGTGACTGTTTTCCATTTCCTTGACTCCCACAGCTGTCCTTTCATTACTTTTTTCTCTTCAAGCCTGACCCAAAAGTTCATTTACATTCAAATTCTCCCACATAAAATGATCAAGAGGAGTATGGAGAGTATAGACAGTTTGAATTACCTGGCTAGCACCTATCAAGTGACTGCTTAAACACCAGGGCCAACACTGTTGACTGATATGAAGGGGAGATAATTAATTTTAAAAAAGTGGCAATCTCGAGAAGCTGGATGATTTTACCAAGAAGTTTGCTGCGATCCTCTGGACAGGTATCACAAGCAGACTATGGCACTTGAGACTCCTAATAAATACTTGGTGTTATTTACAACGATAAGCCCATGTTGGCAGAAGCAGGTTGAGAAAGGATAGGAAAGTCACACATAGCACTTACCATCTTCTGTTTCCTGCCATACGATGCCCTCAAGGTTGACGCTTGTCCCAGGTTCACAGGGGCCCAGGCACTCAGGCTCTGTAGCTAGAGCCACATCACATGTGTTGACCCCAACTGATCGGGTACGAACCATAATCTGCTCACAGGGGGATGAGATGTCATTACTGACCACTGGTACCAAAAGGTGCAGTGGCAGCACCGCTGGTGTAGAGACAGGCGACTCCATCTGTGAGGGAAGAAAAGTAGTAGCTGAGTTGCAGAGAGAACATTTAGAGGAAATACCTTCTCTATAATCTAGTCCTACATTCTTTCCTGCCAGTGTGGAAGGCTCTAAATATAAGACTTTGGTCCTTCCTTTCAAGTTCCAGCTTACGATACCACTACAAATCTAGTGGTTTATATGCGTGCACCCTGTGGTAGGAGAAGCTCCATTTCTTATTAATGATCTTCCTGATAAACTGTGCTTAGCTAAAAGTGTATTAAAAAATCCTGTCTCATTTAAAAATCTCTAGTGATAGAGAACCAGGTCCAGATTTCAACAGTATTAGAGCACACAGATTGATGAGAAAGAAAAGGCTTTTGAGGCATGTTCTACTGCCACTACTGTTTCCCACCAATCTATCATTTGACAAATAATACATTAATCAGGTATAAAATCCAAGAATATGGGTAGGGATAAAGAAGGGGAGAAAATATGCAGATCCTAGATATGTCACTTCTAGAAGACTAGAGCTTTAATTCATCTTTAGCTAGAAGGGCATCTACTTAAAAGTGATGGGAGGGCTAGGATGGGGGTTTCTAACCCTCAGAGATTATAACAGCAACTGCTTAATGAGAATGGCATTTTGGAGCATGAATCCAACATCAAATTAACTTTAAGGAACAGCAGGTGCTGTTACTATCCAGAAGCTAATTCATGGCAGTCTGCAGATGAAGCTCATCACACACACACAGAAATAGGTAAACACAAGAACGAGCAATCTACATCTAAAACTAGAACCTCTCGTAAGAATGCCATTACTTAGAAACCAAAAATTCAACGTATCCCGAATTAAAACTTGTAATAAAGAGAGTAATAACCCCTTAACTCTTTAAATCCTAGCATTTATCAGACTGATGGAAGTACTGAGTCTATAGTGCCCAAATCCTAACTGAACACAGTGTCCTGCATATGCAAAAGCACTGAATTCACACACTAACCTTCCCTGAAGATTAGGTGATACCAATCAACAGACCTAGAAAATGAGAGTCAAGGATTGTGACTTTCTTCCCCTTGTGAAAGACTTTTTAAAAAGATTTATTTTGAGAGAGAGAGAGAGAGAGAGAAAGCACAAGTGAGCGGGGGAGGGGCAGAGGGAAAAACTCTCAAGTAGACTCCCCGCTGCTGAGCCCAGAGCCCTATGTGGGGCTCTGATGCAGGGCTCCAACCCATAACCCCGAGATCATGACCTAAGCCAAAATCAAGAGTCAGACACTCAACCGAGTGAATCACCCAGGTGCCCCACAAAAGATTTTTTAGTCCAGTTTGAATGTACTCCTTCAATGGCCCTACATCCAGAGAGCCATATATGCACCCATAATCCAAGCTGCCGGACAGTTCTGCAACAGAACTCTGGTTTTACTGAATGACCACTGCTCAACCTGTAATCCACCTCCCTCCTCTTAACACATAGATTCTCTCTCTCTCTCTCTCTCTCTCTCACACACACACACACACCCTACCTCTTCCTGGCCTGAGATACTCCTCTAGAAGCTGAGATCTGGGTATTGCCTCTATCGCAGTTAGCTCTCACTTCTGCTATTTGTGAATCATCACTGTCAGAGTCCACTGAATGCTAGAACACGGATTCTGATGAATTCTGGTCCCTGAGAGGCTGCCAAAACATTATCCTTATCTGCTTGTTGTCATGCACCCACCTCCCCCTGCACCCCTCAGCCCCATGCTCCCCTAACTCCACCTCTTTTATAAAATGAAATGAAAGTCAAAGCCCATATAATGAATTTTCTTCATTATGGTCAATGCCAAAAGGCATCTTTGCCTTCTTTTTGCACTTCTGAAAATCAGGCAATGATCATTTAATTTGGCAACCTTCTTGGGATGTGGTAAATCCCCGAAAGACCTTTAAGATTTCTATGCACAGATGTGAAGGCAAAAACACAGAAAATGTAAGCTCAATTCTCTACTACTGCTGTGTATGGCTGGAATCTGGGTCTAACCATCAAGCCCTTTCACGAATGCTTCAAGAAGGTAGCTCGTAACTCTTTGGGAAGAAAGTTTCCTGGAGATTTTACTCACAAAAATTACTAAAAAGAGAAAATTAGAGACAGAGTACACAGATCATCTTTACTCTTGGCCTCACCTCTGTTTTTCTATTTTTTCTCCTGGGCAAGAACTGAGACAAAAACAATTTCACAATCAGTACGTGTATTTCTTTTGCTTAGAGTTTGTTGTCTTTTCTATACCGTTCTTCTACTAGCAAGAGAAATTCCTGCAACGTCTGCTTTCTTGGACACAGATTAACCTGAATCTTTTAGGTCACTCCTTTGAACTTTCTGACTGTCTCGCTTGAGCATGTCCTATTGCTAACCTGTTCCATCGCTGAGGCAGCAATCCTAAACAAAGAAGGAGGTAAGTCCCCAGGGAGTCACCTACACACACACACACACACACACACACACACACACACACACACTCTCTCTCTCTCTCTCTCTCTCTCTCTCTCTCTCTCTCTCTGACATCGAAGGTAGCTGTTTTCTAGAAGACGTTTCATTTCCTGCTAGGTTATTCAGTGCCTGGGAGGCCAAGAAGAAGGGAAGGAAGCTACTAACACTGTAAATAAAACCAAGCCCCCAGTTTTGTACCAACGGATCCAGAAAACATCTAAGATGTAAGTAGGAGACACCCTTGTTGCATTCAGTTTGCCAAATTAAACCCTGCTACAGAATACATGCAGAAGGAACTTAGCAGAAGTGATTAGTTAGAAAAACAGAATATACAAAGAGCTGATCAACATGTATATGCACCAAACTACTCTTACTGATCAGAGGTACTAAGTAGAATTCAGGATCTCTCTTTGTGTGAGGATGACTTTATTTAGTCAGTTAATTAAAAGAGATTTTAGGGGGTGAGAAGTAAAGAAATCCACCTATGGGTTTGGAACTATTCAGTTTCCTACTTTGCAAAAGAAATCTGAGGAGAAATCACAGAGCAACATAATAATGTTTAATTACAGTTCTAGCTCTGTTAATTACCGTTTGGTCACATCTATAATCTACATTAAGCCATAGTGCATAATAAGCAGCTCTGTGATATTCATCTAATAACCTAGGTGGCTTTATGGGATTTCATAGTCTACTATTCACTGGAACAAACAGAACTTCATTTACCACTCTCTAACAAAAATTAGAAAAGGACTTATTTTGCTACCTTTCCCATATACCTAGGATACAAGAGCAGGAATTGTCAGGAGACTGGATCCAGCAGGGAAAATTGAGTAACAGGAATATAAAAAGTTAAGGTCATTAAATACCTTAATAGCTACAACAATAAAAGCCAGGCCAATTCTTGGTCTCTGAAATGCTAAAGTGCCACAGGGGGACGGGGGTTGGGGAGGGTGGGGGACACGGCGGGACAACACTCCTGGGACTCACTGAATGGGAAGATAAAAAGCAAAACAAAAGAAAAACTTGAAAAGAGACAGAGAATTTAAAGAAGGAAATATCTTAAGTTTCCCAACAGTTCATGTCCTTTATCTTTTAATGATATTTCTTTTCAATTCACCTTTAGATATTAGTCTTCATATCACCTATTAGACATCTAAGTGCTGATAGGCAGGTGACGCAGAAATGAGGACTGGAGAGAAGAAAGAAAGGCCAGAGCCATTAATCTCCCCTCAAGAAGTAATTATACACTGACTTCAGCTGCCTCCCACACATGAGAGGAACTGATGAAAGAAAAATTTCAAGGCTGCAACATAATTTTTGGGGTAGAAAATGCAGCAAAGAAATATTTGGGACAGATCTTTTCCCCCTCCCCTTCACAGACATGAGTCTGATACCTTCACCTTCACAGTCAAAAGGCAGAGAGGAAGATGGTTCTACTGATACCTTCAGTAACTCTGAGAAACTCCCTTTATCCAAGAATGAAAGATAATTGGAGATAATGGTTAGATAAATGTTCAGATTTATTCAGAATTATTGGATAAGATTATATAAGAAGTAGAATGTCATCAAATATACTAAATACTATATTAATAACATGTTCTCTTTCTTTGATAATTCCAAAGGTCCTTCAAGATTTTATACAGTGACTCAGCAACAGCAATACTAACAAGAATATAGATTCCTGATTCATGGATAAACATGTAAGTACTCCCCTATAAAACTTAACTGGTTCACAAAATTTTTATTGTGGTTTTGTTTTTGAGAGAGACAGCGAATGTGGGGGAGGGGGAGAGGGAGAGAGAATCTTGAGCAGGCTCCACACCCAGCGTGGAACCCAATGTGGGGCTCAATCTCATGACCCTGAGATCATGACCAAGTGTAAATCAAGAGTCCAATGCTTAACCAACTGGGCCACCCAGGCGCCCCTAGGGTGGGTTATTAAAAAGAACTAGTATTTAAAATTCCATTTATCAATTTTATTTTTTTTAGATAGAGTGAGAGTATAGGGGGAGGGGCAGAGGGAGAGAATCTGAAGCTGACTGCCTGCCGAGCAGGAAGCCTGATGGGGGAGTAGGGGGTGCTGAATCCCATGACTGCAAGATCATGACCCGAGATGAAATCAAGAGTCAGATGCTCAACTGCTGAGCCACCCAAACATCCCCCATTTATCATTATGTTATTTGTCTCTCAAAATACAGAGAAAAAAAAATCCTCAGTTATTTGAACTGCCTCCTGTTGACTGAGATTTTGAGATAAATTAAGTAAGTTTACTGCATTTTTTTTTTAAAATTAAAGATTATCTTTGCTTATCCTGGGAGATCAGTAATTGCTTATTTGCAAGATCCTGGCAGAGAGAAATCACAGAGTAACTGAGGATGGAAGGAGAAATCTGAATTCCTCCTTTCCACAAAGCTCTTGACAGAATACAATAGAATATTCCAAGTAAATCACAAAACAACACAACATTTAAGTTATTAGTGAAGGAGGAAATCACCTCCTTTTCAAACACTCTTTGACCCTGACTATTGAAAGGAAGGTAGGAAGAAAGAAGGAAAAAGAAAG